AGGGACAGCTCAGGTTGAGTGGTTTGGAGACAAAGTTAATGAGGCAAGGCTGAGAGGGTTTCAATATGTGCAGAGGAAGGATTCTGCATAAATTGGACAAAGGATATTGAACATTGAGCTCCCAGATGGGAGGGAAAGAGGAAGACCTTAGATAAGATTACAATCCAAGGGATAGTGTGAGACGGGGGGCAGATGATACACTTTGGCTACCTTAAAGTTGTTTATAGGACAGATATAGAATCACTTTTGACTGGTGTAGATTTGGCCCCAACATCACTCTATTACAAAAACACCTACTCAGAAAGTCACAAGAGGTACATTCCTCAACTACAAGAATCCATCAAGAAAAGCAGTTGTTCCTACAAGAGGATTTTGTTCAGGAATAGCAATATATACTACTTATCTCCTATAATCTATGCCTACAGCCAGAGGTAAAATAAATAAATAAATATAGCACATCTCCCTCCAGATGATGACCACAATCAGAATAATGCTTTATCAGTTTGTGGTAGATCATTTCAAGTTCCACTTGCCCATGTAATAGAGATCTCACTGGCTATGTCACTGACCCTCTGAGGTCAGTCCTACTGGCTCCTCCTGCCAGGCTGAACAGCTGAAATCTGCTGCGGCAGACATCTGACTCCACCTCCTCTGGATGGAGTTTCCACTCAACAGTCACCATGAACAGGGAGCTACATCTGAGAGAAACACAGCATAAACATTTGACAAGTTCATATGGAAATTTATGAAAAAAAGGGCAAGCTGACTGACACCGTGCAGAACAACTCAATCATAAAAGCCAGAAGTAAATTTTTTATCGCTCAGGCACTTGGATTTATTGCAATTAACCAATTTAATGAATGGATCCAAAGTGATTTTGTAAATGGATTAGAGTTCATAAAAGTTGTGCTTTGTATGACCTACCGGCTGGAAATGGAGCCTGTGTTCGCCTTCAGTGTTTCCCTGCATGTTTCGTACAGGTTATAAGCGTCTTCAGCTGAACGCACACACACCTCACATAATCCTCCTATGAGACTGAGAGAGAAAAGCAGGCATGAGAATATATAATACAGCTTCAGTGTGTATATGTTTTATATGAGGTCTTTGTTTATCATTAAAATGCAAAATTGTGACACACCTTCCAAGCGCTGGATGTGTTACAGGTTGTAGAGTCTGTCTGTTGAGGCTCAAGAGATCCACTGCACTGCCGTCTGGATAAAACTGACATTGAAAAACATTAGCTGTCATCATGTGTTTTATTGCATCTATTATCCTTTGGGGCTCTGCTACTGAATACAAGGACAAACCTGAAGGGATGACACAGAGATGAATAACTCGCCTTTCACTCTTGACTCCATACAGCTGAACAGGTTAGCCACGACCTACAAGCAAATCAAGGGTATGATTGAAAATATAAACACATAAAATCTGCAAATATTAAATGCAGTTTTGTTTAGAGCTCCACCTGTCTGATGACACTGCTGTCAATAAGAGCTCTCGTCGTCTCTGTGGAGGCTCCACATATCAGCAGTGCTGCGTTACACCCACTGGACATGTACTCGGTGAGAGGCTGCAGGAGCTCAGGGTGAAAACTCTGCAGATTTACACTCAAGTCTTTCAGTTTCCAGCCATCAAAATATCAGGTAGTGAAAATATGTGCAGTGGAGCAGAAAAGGGTTAAAATAAGAGGTCAGGAGCTGTTTTGTACCTTTATGCTGTCAACAGTCACGACTTGGTCGAAAGAGAAGGCCTTGGCTGCCTGTTTGAAAGAATTTAAGCAAGCTTGAAAGCAAATTAACAAATACTTTCTGAAGCATGTGTGTGAAGTCAAATGACTTACCTCATTATTTGATGATTTGTAGTAAACACTATGTCCTTCTTCATCAATAACAACAGATTCTTTACTCTCTGTGCATTCAAAACCGAGTTACAGTCATTCTCCAGTGACAGTATAGCAAATATACAGGTATACTGTCACTGTCCCAGCCTTACCTGGTTTTGTTGTAAGTACAACTCCCACTCTCACTGCGTCAGCTCCCTAAAACATTAAAGATCAATGACAGAGACTCCAACAAGAGTGCCTTTAAATTCTGCATTATTCTGATGTAAATATACCCCTGCTTTAAAAAGATGCTATTTATATACTGTGTAGAATATGAATACTCACAGGTGCATCCATGTTAACAGTGGCCATCCTGCGTCTGACAGCCACTGGCGCACCTGGATTTCATTTCAGATGGATGAATTATTAATGATCCAGAGGCTACTTCCACTGGTGAAAGTGAGCAGGGTTCTGTTACCAGGACGGACAGAGCGGTCAGAAATGGGGTCACTGATCAGCAGTACTATCTTTTTAGGCAGGGAAAAATAAAATAGGATTTATGAAGACTCGCTCCATGATCACATATACAGTTTGTACACACTAGAGAAATACAACAGCTGTGACAGTATAATTAAAAACTCATCTGTCTTCTATTGCCCTTTTTATGAGAAGGCACACTTTATACAAGGGTTGTAAGTTAAATAATGGCTATACAATGGTTATACCATGGTTAATTATTAATTGCAAGAACATGCTGCTTGTGTTCTACTGACTTAACCTTGTAGGAAACATAAGGGTGATAGCCATTATTTATTTGAAAAATTGGCCATATATATAATATCCATTGGACCCAGTATTTTGAGTTTATTATATTTCGGTTTAATTCTGCTTCATGGATTGTTTTCTTATTCTCGTAGTGATGATGATTATTATTAGTTTCTTGTTTCTGTTTATCCGTGCTTAAGGATTTGTTCTCGGTTATATCTCACGTTTAGTTTAGTTCAGGTTCCATGTGTCGTTCTCTGTCTGTCTGTCTCTCAGTGTCAAGTCTGCGTGCTTGTTTAGTAATTCATGTTTCCTGTTTTATTGTGAAAGTCTTGTCTTATGTTAGTGTGTTTAGCTTGGTTCCCCCCCGTCTCGTTAACCCTGATCTCTCCCAGCTGTGTCTCCCTCCTGTTGGCCATTTCCTGATTACCACCCTGTGTATATTAGCCCTGTGTTTTCCTGTGCTCAGTGTTGTGTCGTACCCGCAGACCCTGCCTGTGTGTTCCTGCTTGGTTTCATGGTTGGTTTGGTTTGGTTTGGTTTTTGTTTCATGCCAGCAATAAAAGCTGTGGTTTTAGTTACATTTCGTCTCAGAGTCCTGCATTTGGATCCACATTTCCACCTGCCTGCACACAGAGCCCTGACAATAGCAAGAAGGCTCCTGGTCTGGACTCCATCTGGGAGTCCAGACCATGAGTTTCCCCGTGCCTTTGAGGGTTTCTTCCAGGTATTCTGGCTTCCTCCCAAAGACGTTCACTTAATAATTTAAGACTCAATTGGGAGAGCAAAAAAGATCCACAAACTCTTTTAATAAATAGTTAATAAGTTGTCAATAGACTTCTCCTCTACTCTGGATGGATTCAAAAGACTTCCTCACAGCCCTGAAACTTTTTGTTATAGATTATTATTATTATTATGAAACCTCTAATTGGACCCTTTATAAAAGTTGAAAGTAGAACCCAACAAAGATGGATGCTGTAAATGTGGGCAAAAATAAATAGTGTCAAAAATCAAGTGTGATGTTGCATCCCGCTGCTCGGCTTCACATGCTTCAAGACACAAATTCATTATCAGAGTCTCCCGCTGGGCTGCTGGTGTGTCGCATACAAGTTCTCAGGCAAGTCCTCCACTACACACTTGTCTGTGTTATCCAGGAAGATGATGGCATCCCACTAATGGGGCTACTGCTGGCATAAAGAATATCATTCTGCTCCAGTTTGCGCAAAGCTGAAAAGCCTGGTAATAAATACACTTTGTGGGTTTCACGACTAAACTTAAAGCAAATCTTATCCTTGCTTAAAAAGCAAACTGAAGTGGCTGCTCTTAAAGTGGTAATAAGCCTCAAATGAAACGGATGAATCAGTGAGTCAGCAGAAGATAAAAAGTATCAGATCTAGAGAAGATAATATGTCATGGTTTCAGCGTTTAAATTTACGGCTTCAAATACAACAAAAAATGTTTTAATAAAGGAAAAGAATTCCTGTTAATATCAAAAAAGGAACTGGAACTAAGAGAAACTTTAATCTCAGAGAATCCACATAAAATTTCATTATAATACGTGTTTGCTTTATTTGACAGTTTGAAATGGTTCTTTAAGTACACATTTTTGTTTTTTATTCATATTTTTTAAGGGTTTCCTTGTCGTACAGTGAAGCCAAGCAGAGTTATAAACTCTTAACATCCACTTTTTACAGCTTGAGACCTTTTGGTTGCCAGAAGAATATCTCTGTAATAGACTGGCGCCGTGTCCGGGTATATCCTGCGTCTCACTGCATGCCAGCTGGGACAGGCTCCAGCCAGTGGTTAAGATAGTGGATGGATGGATATGGGAGAACAAATCTGTAGCTAAACGTGGATCTTATGTGTTTTCATGTCCAGCCAGTTTAGACATGGATGAGTATTTTTTGTGTGAGCTGTTCACCAAGTTGGAGCAGGTATGTGCAACTGGCTTAATCCATCAGTTATTTTCCTTTTCTTCACATCTTTTTTTTTTTTTTTTTTAAAAGAGGACTCACTGAGAAAAAACCTAATGTTTTGTACATCTTCACCACTAATGACGAAGAAAATAAATTCACACTTTTGCACCCGTCGTCCCAGATATGCGAGCCTCAAGTGGGCAAATTTGCACTCTTAACATGATCTTGGGTAACTGTCAAAACAGAAGGGACAGAAGCGAGCACCGTGGTTTTCACCTTTGCCTGTTAGATCGTGTTAATTTGATGACTGATAGTGAGAGTGGTGCTTAAAAAAAGATGGGGGCACTCTTTTTTTTTAAGAAAATGTGAGAGAACTCAATTTCTAAAAGAACTAAAAGGATGAGTCGGTGCACTCATGCACATTTCAGGTTCTTTAACGGCAAATGTATTGAGTGTCAAAGTGTCTAATTTTTAAAAAATGCCACAAAATCCAGGACTGAGTGAGCAGCGTCACTGCATCTAATCAGGTTAAAGTTTATTCAGACCTTATTTTGATTACAGCTTAAACAATGATTTCTCTTAACTGTAGATAATGTGAAAGATGTAATGCAAGCGGTGTTAATAGGAAAACTTTATTCATCAACCTTATTAAAACAAACATGTCATAAAAGAGTAACTTTATCATATTCACATCCTGTGAAGGATAGGTTAGCCCACAGTTTATGGTATGTATTTATGGTATGTAGATTTATACTAGCTAGATTTCTAGTTGGAAATGCAAATTATTCATTTATTTATATGTAAAATAGCAACATCTCTTTCCAGATTGTTCCTAGTTGCTTTGGGTTTTTTTCCTGACACTACTTTCTAGCAAAATATTAGAACCTATTTAAACTGCCCTCTGTGAGGTTTGGATTATCAGACCAGCACGGGAAGAAATTAGGCTGGTTTACATTAATAAATGCAATTTTTCAATGTTCAGAGCATCACAACCAAGCTTCCATTTTCCTGCATTGAGTTTAAGAGAAGGAGATGCGGTAAACCTACCCTTTAAGCATTCATCAGAACCAAACATATTAAACACTCACATAGTTTAATGTACTTATTGTAGATTATACAAATATACCCCAAAACAAATCTGACGTAAAGGCAATTTTTTTTTTCAAAATTAAATGCACTAAGGTGTAACAGGCCTCTATTGATCCGATTTCAAGCAGCCACAAAAAAATGGTTAAAATCACGAGATTCCACGCAAAACGAGCTCATCAGGGATAGAAGCGTTAATAATTGAAGTGCGGCATGACGTCTGTCATTTGCAGAGATTGCTGGATGAAATCTTTCTTCAAGATTTGCTTCACTTTTGTTTTTCATCTGGAAAAAGAGATGAAAACAGCAAACAACAAAGTGATCATGATGATGATGCCAGTGAAAAATCTCACAAATGAAAAATCATCAAAAACAAAGAAACTAATCTGAAGCGCTCACCATCCATGTCGTATGTCTTCTGCATCAGCCTGGGTGCAACCATCATGCGACGAGGAAATGCAGCTAAAGTTAACAGGAAAAAAACCCATCTGGTGTCATTCACAACAGCCTCACCAAAACTACACATGTAAGAAAAGATCCTTTAATCCGTGTCCTCTACCTCTCTGGCACTCGGGACGGCCACGCATGGTGGTTCCCTCGATGGGATGGCCCTCGCTATCCACGCACCAGCAGTAGCCGGTGGCGTGCCAGCACTGCATTGGCTTGTAGCGGCCCTGCTCGTCACACTGGGGCTTGTATGAACCAATCTTGCTGGGTCCGGGTGCTGCCTCCACCTGGCATTTGGTCTTGATGGTAGTGGCTGAGCAGAGAATATTCAGACATTCATTTTGGTTTTATTTACCAGTTAAAAATTAAAAAGTCATTAATAAAGACTGTAAAAAAAAGACATTTTGTTGAGAGTTTAATGGGAATACAGATCTCAGATAGCTTAGCACAGCTCACAAACATGAAACACGCATGAACAACATCCAATAATTTTTCAACATTTTGTATTTCTTTCTTTTTTTATATATAAATCTCTAAAAAAAATGACTTAAATGCCAAACTAGTGCATACTAGTAAAACAGGAAAATCTGTATTTGCTGTTATAGCAACTATTTGGGTAATAAAACACTTAAAAGTGAAGGAAAGAAAAGTTGAGCTAACCTGACTGAGGTGTGGGGGTTGCAGGCTGCTGCTGGGCCATGTTGAAGATAAGCCAGTAGCGCATCCAGGTCTCAAAGCTCTACAATACAGAAAGTGTTAGATAAGCATGGCTAAAAGGACAGTCGCCATTTTTCATTTCTATTTTAGCTACGTTAGCAATGTGATCACTGCGTGTGACGCTTCACCTTCCACTCGCTATCGTTCATCTGCTGCTTCAGGGTTTGCAGGTTGGCCAGGAAGGTCTCGTTGAACTGAGGCAGCTCGGAGTCCTGTTCAGAGCACGTTCGAGAGCTTACCGTCAGCAACACATCAACACGCAGGTAAGGAATGTGAGGCTAGACAGTGTTTGCGACCTACCTGCATGAGATCCATCAGCTGTTTCTCCACACTGACAATGGCAGTGTTCTGCAGTTTCTGGAGGAAGGGAGCATTCAAGTTGAAATTAATTATTCAACTTTTAAATCTAAGCATTAGCAATTAATTTGAAGCCTTAAATGAATCCCAGCTGCACACAAATATGAACTTTTTCCCAGAAGATGGTGTGCACTTACAGTCAAGGGGGTCTTGGGTGCTGTGGAGTCCTCGGTGAAGTCCATGAGGAGGGGCAGGCTGTTCATGGGCATGGCCATCCTCACTGGAGCCACAGCTGAAAAAAAAAATTAAAAAGAAGAAAAAAAAATCAGCGACAACAACAAAAAACTTAAATAAATGCAAGTACAAGAAAAAGTAGCTCTTTTTATGTCTAAATTATTAATGCTCAGCAGAAACAAATTGAAAAGTTGGACTACATAATAAATAGAGAATTAAAAAAGGAATGTGTTTTTGTTTCTTTGTTTAACAGTATCTCTCGAGACGCCTCTGTTTGAAATCTTGTTTTAATGCTATTAACATAAAAATATCACACAGTTAACCTTTTTCTCCCCATGAGTCACAATAAACTTTCCATTTCTCCATCCACCTTCAAACTCAGCTTCTGTAAAGTAAACTCTCACTTCCCTCCTCAGCGTTCCAGCCCGCGTCCGCCTGTCTAATTAAAACTATCACTCAAAATGACACATCCCCTTAGGGCTCTGTGTGGCCATTAAGGTTTTAGCGCTCGACTTTACCGTGAGATGAGCGGGTCAGCTGTTTGTTAATTCTGTCCGAGTTCTTCTGTAGAGTGTGGATCTGCTGCTTTTGGCTAAACACCGTGTAGGCAGTGAAGACCTGGCTGGCCACCAGCAGGCAAGCCAAGGTTGTCAGACCCGCAATTTTCAAGGCACGACTGTTGGAGCCTCTGTGAGAAATAGAAAAGTATGTGTCACTAAAAGGTTGGAGGTAAATCAGGAGGTTTGGTGGAAGAAATGAAGGACATAAAAAACGGTAAAACAAAACATGGGATTCCAATAAAAAAATTCTTGGTATGAAAGTGACGTGAGGGGATTTCTATAAGTGTGTGACATTTTTAAGGCCTGGGTGAGTCATTTGGATTTTGGACAGTCCACACACAAAAATACAATAACAAAAAAAAGGAAAGCCACAGTTTCCTTTAGTCAAACCTGTAGATGATGAAAAATGATCATGATTAGTGTGTAAAATGTTAATTTACCGCACATTACGTGATGTAAAGGAAGGGACAAATCTGTGAAGAAAACAAGGAGGGGGAGGGGGGGATTGGCCTTTGTCTCTCCTTTGTTTGCCTTTGAATTTCCTTTAAGATTTATTTTCTTTTGTTCCTTTTTAAAATTTGAATCTTTAAAGATATTTGTTTGGTTTTTCAGTGTGGGGGGCAGGAGTTGAAAATGGGTAGGATATGTTGGGGAGGAGAGATACAACACACAGCTGCGATCCAGCTGTCTGGGAATCAAATCAGTAAACCATAAAAAAACAATTATTTTCCATCATGTAAAGAGCAGCAAATCTGGGAAATATATAATTTAAAAAAAAAATTAGATTAGATAAAAAAGAGTGATCTCAGATCTAATTACTGCTCCTTCTTTTATTTCAGCCAATAGAATGTGAGTATCACTAGTTACTAGGCAGATACATTCTTCTGGCTTCAGCAGGAAGTCATATTCAACTATGATTCAAGTTCAACTTGCAAATTAAACAAAGGTAGATAGGTGTAAAATGATTTTTCTCAAATGCAAACGTATAAGGACAATGTTACTTTTTCATTATTGCTGGAAAACATTAATAGTGAAAGTCAGAAAGTCATATGTTTACATATCCGCTTTTTAAATTGCGACATTAGTCTGTTCGATGCAATTTATTTTTTTATTTGTTTATCATAAATTCATGTATACCGCCAATATAATCTGTGTCGTAAAGGAAAATATAAAGTTTGTTTATCTATTATTTCCAATCAACAGTCCACACAAAACGTTTATTCATAAATCAGATTCTAATCGATTATTAAGTTGTAATTCTTGTAGACTGTATTTATTTCTAACTTGAATTGTTCCCAAAAAAAAGGCATTTTCTTTTCTCTATTAGCCAATAACAACTGCTGCGTCACCAGTTACTAGGCAGACGCCTTGTCCTGGCTGAAAGGGGAAGTGCGGTTCAGTGAAATTAAGAAGTAAAACGAAATGTTTTAAAAGCATTATTTGTTGTAAACATGAATACATACATAAATAATATTATAATATATAATTATAAAAGATAAAAACGAAATAATTTTACTGCTCTTTTAACTAAAAAGGAATAAGTGCAAATCTGAAACAGATAGGCCTACCTTCAAAGTTAAATGTCATAAAATGTATCTTTGCTATTGCTAAATGAAATTAAAGGAAATGTGATACTGCTGCATGTAAGCAACTAACCTTTGGTGAAAAACTTCAGTTTTTTAAATTTATTCTGCTCTATCTGTGTGAGCCAATTTAAAAAGGTGCACTTTATTGAAAATAATAATAATTTTTAAAGATACAGCACAAACAGCTGCTATGGATAAAGTACACTCTTCTCACCCTCTTGGTGCTGCAAGGGGAAGAAGCGTCTCCTCACTGTCTGCCAGGTTTCCCCTGGCCAGGGGTGCATCGTCTGGAGAGTGGGCCATCTGTGTTAGGAGTTCTTTCCGTTCCTTCAAGCAACAAACTGAACAAAGAGCAACACGTCTAGAGCATAAATTGCCTACAAAATGAGGAAAAGAAAACCAGACGGGTTCCACAGAAAGCCTCTCTATTTAAAAAAAAAAAGAACAAGAAGTTGTGGGACGGATCACTAGCGCCACTCTGATTGGCTGATTTAATAGCATCATCTGTTGACAGAGGCAGACAGCAGCGACATAAGCGACGGTTTAAGATCTAGAATTTACCATTATTGTTTGATAGTATAGTATTTTCAGTTGCCTCTGCTAATTCTAGCAAGTAAACATTAATTATTTGTAAATATAAATAATGCTGCTAGTAATAATACTACAGTAGTTTATTAGATGACTGAATTACTACATCAGTGAAAATACATACTTTAGGTTTCATTACTAAATACTGCACATTATGACATTTAGGTAGTTGTATTAGTAGATAAAGTACATGTTATATAATTGAAAATATTATAATAATATTCCCATAATTACAAATAAAGGCTAATATTACTATTATAGCTTAAAGAATAAAGAAACAGTGAATCAAATCATAGTAATATGCAGTGTTCTTTTAAAACAAAGTTTTAGACATTACAATTACAACAATGTTAAGGGAAATGTGGTGAGTACATTTGTCTACTTTTTATGTTGGCCTTTTTAGGAATAAGATGAGACTTCTTTGTACACTTTAAGGTGTTTTCCCCAATGAGGAAACGAAAAGAAGAAATATGAATTACTTGTAAATCTGGTGGACTTTAGAGTAAAAGACTTATGTAAGTAAGTAAAAGTTTTTACTTAATAAAAGTTAGTGCTGAATGTGCTATCAAGGGATTTGGTTTGTCTGCTTCACGTCTCCATAAAGTGAAACAAAAAGAAAAACAGTTTGTTTTTCAATCCAAACCAGGAGACTGGGAAGCTTCTAGAAATCTCTGCATAATGGTCATCATCACGTTGAATGCTTATAATTTACAGCTACCCCTAAAATAATAGTTCATACAAACTCCCACCTGTGGACTGTAATATATTTAAGGACTTATTTAGGACTGCAAAATTTACTACCACACGTTAACATTTTTACAGTCACATGACCTTGGTGCTTATAAGGCTGGGTCAAAATTAGGAGGTCTTTAAGCCAACTAATTATAACCAAAATATTTTTAGGCTTCTTATACCCATAATGATATTTTCAGGGCTGAAAAACATATTTACGCTCTGTTAAAAACTGCATGCACTTCGTGTCACAATTTAATACTCAAGTCTTTATAATTCACTGGAAAAAAATACTTTCAAATGTACATTTTGGTTAAGAAAGAGTTAGTGGAGTGGAAGTAGAGTGGAAGTGAGTGGCTAGTTAAAACAAGCCAGCATCAGAAAGGTGTCCTTTTATAGTAATGCAAAAAAGAAAGTACAGAGTACAGGCCACCTTTGGTAGCACTAACCGTCCGTTGATGTTTGCAGGTGTTAGTTTATGCACAGCTCTCTTGAGGTCCCACCCCAGCAATTCAATCAGATTGAGATCTGAACTTTGATTAGGACATTTCTTTTTTGCCATTCTGTTGTAGATTTGCTGCTGTGCTTGGGATCACTGCGATGTTGCATGACCTAGTTTTGTCCGAGCTTTAGCTGCCGGACAGATGGCCTCTCATTTGACTGGAATACTTCAGTATACAGAGGAGTTTATGGTTGACTCAGTAACTGTAGGTGACCAGGTATTGTGGCTCCAAACCAAGCCCAAATCCTCTTGCCAACTATGCTTGACAGCTGCTATGAGGTGTTTGTGCTAATATGCTACGTTTGCTTTTCACCAAATGTGACTCTGGTGAAACATTTCTACTTTGTCCTTTAGACAGACAAGACCGTTCAAAACAATCTTGTGGTTTGTTCAACTTTCCAAACTTAAGCTGTGGTGACATGTTCATTTTAGAGAGAAGAGGCTTTTGGCTGGCAAAACCTTAAACAAGCCATACTTGTTCAGTCTTTTTCCAATTATACCGTCATGAACATTTAACATGCTAACAGAGGCCTGAAGAGTCTGACATGTAGCTGTTGGCCTTTTGTTGTGTGCAGTATCTGAGCATTGTACTGACTGACCTTTAGGGTGTCTTTGACGGGACTTTCACACCTGGGAAATTTGTAGTATTGTGTTACAAGACACAAACGAATGCTATAAAACCATCAAACCACCAAAACTGCTGTTCTAGAGGTGATCAGACTGTTTTCAAGCAATTAGCTTTTAGCTAGCAGCAACACAAAGTTGCTTACACTCCTTAATTCCTATGGATGGACTTCACAGGACTGCATCCAACCCTGGAAGAAACTTCCCTTTTCACAAGACTCTGTGAGCATTTTGACACTAGGCTCATCTTCTAATCTCAGGGGTGGATCTACAGGGAGGCAAAGGGGGGCAACTGACCCAATGCTGTAGATCCGTGCTCCCCCCACCCCAATTTTCTGTCCCCAACTAATTTTCTCAACCTAATTGTCTTTGTTTTCTTAGAAGAGATCATGCACTTAATAATTTAAAGTGTTTTGTGGATATTTTGTTGACATATTCATATAAATAATTTCCCCCAGGGATCAATAAAGTATTCTGATTCTGATAAGGGATTTTCACAACCTTCACTGAAGAGGTATGTGCCACCCTGCCTAGACCTCTTGCCCCCACCCAAATGTAGAGTTTTCTAGATCCGCCACTGTTTAATCTTGTTTCCATATTCTTATATAATCATAGCATGAGGTAGGCTTTTGCATGACTTTATTAAATGAAAGAGCTGTTTATGTAAAACAAACAAACAAAAACAGCTGGAAGCCAAACAGCAGAGAAAGGAGAGGAAAAAAGATCCAACTACTGAAAAATACAGTGGTGTTTTATTTGCAAATTAAAAAGCACCGACAATATTAGTTACACTGTAAAAATTATTGACAACAATTACAAATCTTTATCATACAGTCCAGGAGATTAGTACCATCGTTGCTGTTATGTGTTATCATTTAATACTTTATATGGAGAGACTCAGTACCTTTGTACAACAGTTGGCAGTGAGAGGACATGAGAGGAAAGAATCTCAGCGACACACCTCTGCACAGTGAGGAGAAAAATAAAATAAAATAAAAATTTCCACACTCCCCCTCAGTAGAGCACTGACATTTCACACAATGGGCTGATGGAGAGTGTAAACCCAAACACATTCAATAATTTAGGTCTACAGAGGGTTTTCGCATTATTTACATTATAAAGCCACCGTCATGTGCATTGTTATAACATCAGAACATCGTACAAAACTATTGCAAGAAGAGCAGCTTTTTGTTACCTACGTTTGACATCTAGTTGCAGTGGTAACACCTTGACCGACAACCAAAATGTCTGAGCGGTCTCTCTGGGCGAACTGTTGGTTTGCCGGGTGACTTTAAGTGTTTGTTCTGTTTTTAAATAAGCAGAGTCAGCTTTTAATCTCCCAAACAAAACCTTTTCTATTGAGTGACATGAAACAGAACATAAGAAAACATAAACAGCTGTGATTAAAAAACAAAACAAAACAAACAAACAAAAAACAACAACAATGCTGACACCAGATTTTGAGATGCACAATCTTCTGAATCTTGTGGGACCAGAGTGTGGCGTTAACATACAGTAGCTAGCTTATGATCTTCTTCTTCACAGATTGTAGTAGGAACAATTTCGTGAGTGTGCTTTCCAGTAACCTTTTATCTTCAAACAATGTGCTTTCATCACCCGTCCTATGTTCCTGCTGTAGCCAATCAAATGGTTGTAAAACTGGCTACAGAGCATGCTAAGCTGAAAACAGTGTACGCAACTGTACTGTACATCTGGCCCATATGAAACCAATGGCGCTAAAGTGTTTAATTTTGGTACATTCTACAGCAATGCATTGCCATCCGCATTACAGAGACGTTAAAATCAAAGTAAAGGAAAAAAAACACTTTAAAAAAAAGAGCCATGAAAAGTCCATGTGGTAATAGTTTAAGGAAGATTCTTGTCCTGGCACTTGTAACGTGATAACTAGATTCTACCAAGGCCTATCAAATAAGGCTACAACATGCAGCCTAAGTCAAGACTTCAGACGTCCCATTCTCCCTTCATACAAACACGTGCATCAAAGGCATTTGGAACCAATGTCTCTCAGGCGATCGGGATATCATCCATTAAGCCTGCTTTAATGTGCTCCTTACGTGAAAATTCATTGGCGGGGACACAGGTGATGCTCTCCATCACCTGTGTCCCACAACTGAAATTTCAGACTTTATTCCCTTCCTCTGATTTCCAGGAAGAAGTTCAAGTGATGATAAGTTTGATTGAGGAGAACGGCCATGTGATTATCAAACACCGACAATTCCTCGTGTGCGTCCTCTTGAGTCTTCCCCGGTCTCTTCTTCAGTGCACACCGTTAAGGCTTCCATGTTCCTGGTTTGCCCACTGTTGCCCTATTTAGGAAGATCACAGTTGAGTCTTGAGTTGTATGCGGATGTCTCATCCTCAAATCTCAGTCAAAACAAATTGGGATCTTCAACATTTCAGGCCATGAGGCCAGTGAGCCCCAGCAGGGAATATTAGTGGTTCAGTACGAGGAGGTGTGGTTTTCCCCTGTGGTGCTGCTACCTGGTGTGGACCAGCTCTTCTCGGAGCCAGCTTGGTAGAGGCTGTCCCATCCTGTAGAGCAGCTTAGACAGCTCAATGTTATGATCCCTATAGTACTCCCTGAGGAACGCCTGGGACTGGAGAATGCAAAAATAGAGCAAATATTAAACTAAAATATAGCAATTAAAAAAAGATCATACTATAATGTGATAATTCTTCCTACCTCAGGGTCCATATCAGGGTACCTGCGTCCTTTACTCTTTCCTAAACACTTTGTCTTCCCCCCCTCCAGCAGCTGACACCAAAAACCTTTTTTAGGGTCGAACCTGGACGTAAAAAACACAAGAATACACTGAGAAATAAGAAACGACTATTTAGAATTTCAATTCTAATATTGAAAATCTAAAATCTCCCCCCAGTTACTGTGTTTCCGTCATATTTTCTTTGCTCATATGTCCACGTGCTGTTTTCTAGCGCGTGGACATATGAGCATGTTT